CGGGGTGAGAGCGGCACCGGGACAGGGGCCCAACCACCCTGTTCCCAGGCAGAGGGACTGTCCCCAGTGTCCCCTTGCAGGGCTCAGAGGGAGCATCACCCCGCCTGGGCTCCCTGCTCCCAGGAGAGGCTGCCAATCCCACCACTCTGGGACATGCACAGAGCCATCCCCAAGAGCTATGTGTCCCCAAGGACTGGGAAGTTGGTCCTGGGAGTCCCCCCACCCTGGGATCGGGCACAGGGATGTCCCCAGAGTCACCTTGGTTGCCCGGTTGGCCACAGGCCCGGGGCTGCCTTGGCTGAGCTGCTGCAGGTGCTGCCGGGTCACGGTGAAGATCTGCTCCGGGGAGAGCAGGTCGGAGCAGCCGAGGGCGGAGAGAGCGGACATGGATCTCTGCAGAAAAGGGGATCGTGGCTGAGCCAGGCAGCCCCCAGACTCTGCAGGCCACTGGGGGGGACACCCTGTGCTCACCATGCGGACGCTGTCGCTGGGATCCTCCAGAGCCCGGCCCAGCAGCTCCAGCACCACCTCACAGTTCAGGAGCCCACACCTGGACAGGGAGGGGGGTCACGGTTGCTCGCAGCCCCTCCCCACCATGGGGGTCCAGGCCCAGGCAGGGGGGTGGAAAGGGCTCAGGTTGCCCCCAGAAGCCCCCAGTTCCAACACTTACTCCTTGAGGAAGTGCTGAGCCTCCTCCCTGGTGAGGAAGACCCTGGCCCCGCGCGTCAGCCCTGACACCAGGCTCACCTCCCGCCGGCAGTCACCGGGGCTGTCGGCATCCACCCTGCTGGGGACATGCCTGCTGGGCACAGGGGACACCTGCTTCCCCCTTCTGGGGTCTGGCACAGACCCAGCACCCCCCAGGGGCCAGGGACCCCCCCACCTCCAAGCAGCTCTGCCCACCCAGGGCTGGGAGGCCAAACATCCCAGGAGGAACAGCTGGCAGCACCAGGGCAGCGTTCCTGGGGATGCCCCTTGGACAGTGCCAGGGGGAGGGCAGCCCCCCGGGATGACCCTGGGGACCCAGGCGCCCCCGGGGCCCCTCTCACCTGTCAGTGCCATGGCTCAGCTCCCGGCTGGCCCCGGAGCGGCTGTCACTGCCAGATTTGCTGCCTGAGTCCGAGGCGTGGCTCCGCTCGTGTCCCTGCGAGGATTCCCGGGAGCTGTGCCCGCTGTCCACCTCCTCCCAGCCGCCCCCGGCCAGCCCTGGCTGGTGGCTCACTGCGGGGACAGCAGTGCTGAGCTGGGGTCCCCAAACCC